ATTCGAATCATTCGTTTCAAATGAAAATTTACTCGAATTCGGATAAAGCCTTAAATTATTCAAATAGAACCAGATAGTAAAAATAGCAGGTTTCCAAAGAATGAATTTTTTGGGTAATGTGACCATTCAATGTAATTCGAATACTCAAATTGACAACGGGATCATTCGTTTTGATTCGAATAAACTTTATTTGAATAGAAATTCCTATTTCTGATCCTGTATATTTAAATTACTTGTACTTCATGACATCATTAGCATCCATATTGTAGTAGGGTTTCTATTCGTAATACAAATTCTTATTCGAATTAAAAAATTCATTATTATTTTATTCGTTTTATTCGTTTATCCGTTTTACTCGGTTTTTTTTCTTTAACCAAATAATATAAGTTACAATGATTATATTTATAATCTATATTACTATGACTTAAGAACAGAAAAGAAAAATGCCAGTTACTACTATTTATTATTATACAAGGACTATGGAAAATTTTAATTGGTTTTATATTTTATTCGAATAAACAATGTCCATGAATCATATATATTTTTTGATATTGTGAAAATCTTGTCACAGCGGATTATGATCACATATAAATCCGTTATGACGAGATTAGTAATTTGGCATGTCGGTCGTGCAAATTATTGTATATGGAATTTTTTATTTTTTATTTTTTATTTTTATCTTTAATTCCACTGAACTTTATTTATAATGTTATTGAAGCAAATTATCAGAAAATTCATAATAGGGTTGTGTTGGTCTTTAAAAGACCGGTCCCTTTGAACCACGGTCCTAAATTTTAGGACCGGTCTTGTCTTTATAAGACCAGCTGATCTTTCTTAATAAGGAAATTTTGAACAATATCTTTTTTTTTTGAGTTTTTTATTTTATTCGTTATTATTATGTTTTATTGAAGGCCAAACTTTTGTTAAAAAATTAATTCTTACATTGTTCACTTTTTGAGGCTAATACTAAGGAACTTTAATAATAGAAAATCAATGATAATAATTTAGTATGTATAATAAAAACCAATAGTTTATTTAATATAACTTAATGATATAACAGTAGTAGGTATTAATAATAATATTATTATTGGTAATTAAAACAGAAATAGTAATAGAAAGAATAGCAGAAATAGGAGCAGTAGCAATAATAACAACAAAACAAAACAAAGACTTAGTTGAAGATTGGCTTTCTATGATGTCCTCGGAGGAATTAAATCACAATTTCGAAGGGGAAGAAGAGTTTCTTAATGAAAATGAAACCATTTATGTTGAAGATTCAGTTTCTAATATATCTAGTAATTTAACATCAACATCATCATCATCATTCACAACAACATCCACAACAACAACATCACCACATACAAATAATATTCAAAAGAGTACAATTTGGGAGTTTTTTCGTGAAATTCATTGTTATTGTTGCCAAAGATTTCTAGGTAGTCATCCGGAAAATATAAAAAAATTTTACACATGTCAATTGTAAGTTTAATAATAAAAAAGTGTAAAACTTACGTCGGCACTGTAAGATTTACACAATATTACGTCGGCATCGTAAGATTTATGCAAGTTTACGCTAAATTAATTTCCTGATGGTGTTAGGATGTGGATCAATCAAAAAGACTAACTAGTAGAGAGCCTTTTGACTTTGCTTATAATAAACATAAGGAAATTCTTGATAATATTGATGATAATAATAGCAATAATACTACTGGTGGTAGTAGTGTTTTGCAACAAGTACACAAATCACATCCAGATGCATATCATACAAGTGGAATCTTAGATGAAGAGGTTTCTAAATATAAAAGCTTAAAAAGTTATACAAGTAATGAAAATAATCTCGGTTTAACTCTTTTCTCTTAAATGATGATGATAAAGACAAATAAAAATTTCATTATTAATCAATTGGAATTACTATCAATTACAATACAATGTTTTTTAATTAATTTAATAAGCATTAGATTCTAAAAGAAGAAATGACTAATTTAATACTATAAATTTATTTGTTATAATTATTTATCTTTTTATCCTATCCTTATTTGTTAAATTATAATAATTAATAAACTTTTTATAATTTTATGATTCTTGTTAAATGGTGATATTGTTGATTGATTGTGACTTAACTTTTAGGCTTACTCTTGTCAGTTAATTACAAGCAACTTGTGATAAATTGTGCTTGTCAATTAATTAATTGGTCTGATTCATTTCATTTGACAATCACTTCATAACAGTCATTTCATCAACACATATTTTGTCAACAGCTCATTTCACCAACAGCTCACTTCATTGACAGTTCATATGATTTTAGCACAACATATGCATTGATTATAATTATTAATATAATTGTTTGGTTGTTAATCCCGATTGAATATAGGAATCATGATTTCGGAAGCATCAGGAAATTTAGATAAAAAGAAAATTTGGATACTAATTAGTTTGCAAGCATATTAATGACTAAATTTCATGCATCTTGAAAAGGATCATCATTAGAAAAATAAATATTTCTTAGTTTTGTTTCAAACAAAATGACAATTTGTTTGATTCATACTATTTAAAATAATAATTATCATCAATTATTATGAATAAACTTCGCATATAGTACTTTTATATTTTTGAAAATATTCTACTTCATCAGAAGCATCCTTTCCAGTTAAATGAAGTCGATGTGATATACAATGAATTGAGGACATAAAAGTATTGTTTTTTTTTTAACCTTGTAGCAACACCAGTTTGATTTCCTGTCATATTAGAAGTCTCATCACTTCCAAAATGAATTATTTTGTGATGTGATACTTCATTTGAAGTACAAAATGATAGGATTTGATTATAAATACTTCCTGCAGTGGTAGATTCTACAAGATTCTAAAAGAAGAAATGACTAATTTAATACTATAAATTTATTTGTTATAATTATTTATCTTTTTATCCTATCCTTATTTGTTAAATTATAATAATTAATAAACTTTTTATAATTTTATGATTCTTGTTAAATGGTGATATTGTTGATTGATTGTGACTTAACTTTTAGGCTTACTCTTGTCAGTTAATTACAAGCAACTTGTGATAAATTGTGCTTGTCAATTAATTAATTGGTCTGATTCATTTCATTTGACAATCACTTCATAACAGTCATTTCATCAACACATATTTTGTCAACAGCTCATTTCACCAACAGCTCACTTCATTGACAGTTCATATGATTTTAGCACAACATATGCATTGATTATAATTATTAATATAATTGTTTGGTTGTTAATCCCGATTGAATATAGGAATCATGATTTCGGAAGCATCAGGAAATTTAGATAAAAAGAAAATTTGGATACTAATTAGTTTGCAAGCATATTAATGACTAAATTTCATGCATCTTGAAAAGGATCATCATTAGAAAAATAAATATTTCTTAGTTTTGTTTCAAACAAAATGACAATTTGTTTGATTCATACTATTTAAAATAATAATTATCATCAATTATTATGAATAAACTTCGCATATAGTACTTTTATATTTTTGAAAATATTCTACTTCATCAGAAGCATCCTTTCCAGTTAAATGAAGTCGATGTGATATACAATGAATTGAGGACATAAAAGTATTGTTTTTTTTTTAACCTTGTAGCAACACCAGTTTGATTTCCTGTCATATTAGAAGTCTCATCACTTCCAAAATGAATTATTTTGTGATGTGATACTTCATTTGAAGTACAAAATGATAGGATTTGATTATAAATACTTCCTGCAGTGGTAGATTCTACATGTTCCCTCATAATCAAGTGTTGCTTGATACCTTGCATGTCCTACTCATGATAATATTATGGCCCTCGTCATGATATGCACATGCTTATCCAGATTTTAATATCACAAATATTGTGTGGGATTAGTGATGAACCTACCTTGAATTTTGCATCTATTATTATTATTATTATACTTGGATTCGCAAGACATATCTGTATTATATCAAAGTATTAAATTCAAATCCATGTGACCAAAAACTATCATGATCGTGATAATTCTTTCATATTCTAAATATCCAGTTACACCCATAATCTAATACATACATATTAGTCATGTGGCATTCTATTTCTATATGTGAAAATTAATTTGAAATTTGTATAATTACTTGCAAGGTTTTCTCTTGTGTCATTAGATGTATCACCAGTATCAAACCATTCATTATCTTTAGCCTCATTAAATGATTCATAAAATTCGCTTGTTACATTCATTGTTACAATATTAATTAGGAGATATGAGCTAATGACAATGCTTGTTTTCTGACAAAACTTTTCTTTTTATCCAAGTTTCAGGTAACAAATTATGTATTCTATGAATTCTTTATTTTTAAAAATTTTATGAATTTTATGATTAACAAAAAATGTGGGTGAAGAAGCTACAAGGTGAACATTATTGTACAAATTAATCATGTGATTTCATCATATGGTTATGTAAAACAAATGAAAAAATTGTCATTGCTTGACATCATCATTAATATTAGTCAAAAGAAAAGATTGATACCCTCTAGCAACAGCAATATTACACATTAATTATAAAAAAATAAATGAAATTTGTATGATGGTTAACTGCAGTTAAACAGTTAACAATGCCAACCTCTACCCAATTACAATGTTTCTTCATTATTTTGATTTCCATTGATTCAAAATAGAAATATTTTTGTTACTTATGACTATTTACTTCTTTAATTGTCATAGTAAAATACAGTCAAACCCACAGTTCAACAAACTTCATTTCAGCAAATTTTGGTCAAATTTTGGTTTTGGTCCCATTTCATTAACTTTACAGCATTCTGATCGAAAAAGAAATCCCTTATTAGAACTCAATTTTCATCATATTGGTTAAACCATGGTACACTGCCAAAAT